AATTTTTGTTGTTTTTTTGGAGGGTGTACCATCAGGCTCCTACATAAAAGCGGTTGGCCTCAAATGATAAAGCGTATGTCCTTACAATTACCCAGAGACAATAAAATATTTACATTTATGTATGTGCGGGTGACCAATAATAATAAGAATGAAAATACATTTAATGAATGACCGGTGTTGGGCCTACAACACTTTAATAATAATAATAATAAAGAAAAATTATTATACAGAATAGAAAAAAAAACTGGGCGCCCTCGTCTATCATAAACACACAAATGTAAATTAATAAAATACGAGTATTACGAAATAAAAGAAAAATAAAACAAATATATACATATGTAGTAATCTATTCACATAAAAGTTGATAAAAAGGTAAACATCACCAACTGCAGGAGAGCCAACTGCACAGCATGGACTGGCGGCACACAATTTCGGCCACACTGGGACCGACTAGCGGCAAACACGCACGACGGCGACAGGGTCGACCAACAGCAAGCACGCACGACGGCGAAAGGTCGACCAACAGCAAGCACGCACGACGGCGAAGGGTCGACCAGCGGCAAACATGCACGACGGCGAAAGGGCCGACCAGCAGCAAACACGCACGACGGCGAAAGGGCCGACCAGTAGCAACGCACAACGGCGAAAGGGTCGACCAGCAGCAAACATGCACGACGGCAACGGACCGACCGGCGGCAAAGCACACACGACGGTGTAAAAAACAACGCACCGCACAACGCGCACACACGACGCAGAGCGACAAAAAAAAAAATATTATCGTCCACAGCGGACACTCACGCGTCGGCGAAAACCGCGGTCACGCAACGATACGTACTGTGTAAGAGTTCAAGTACGACAAAAGACGCGACAGGCCCGGTACGGCTCGGCGGTCGAAATTGCGATAACGCATGGCAGAGCGGGGAGGGTGGTACAAACAATAGAATTTTCTAGAAGAACAAAAATAGTTTGTTATTTTTTGAACAGAGGGGTTATAGCAATTCTAGGTGAGCTAAGCCCTCAATCATTCCTATTTTCATCTATGGTTTCATCTGAGTAACATAGCAACGAAAGACTAACTATAGGTCTATAAGAGCTATTCAAATTCAATGTTTAATACGTTCACGGTCACGTGTCAAATGTAGTTGATATGGTGTCCATTGATTTATATACAAAATTATTTGACTCTGGTTTATTCTAATAAATATTATGATAATATGTTATTTTTAAACAGTTTTCTGTGTATCGATTGGTGTTCTTGGTTTTAAAATCCAACAGCTGGATAGCGATATTAGTAGTGTTTATTATGAGAATACTATTTTTGTTTTTTAAGAGTGACACTGTATGATTCTTGCATATGTTTACAGTTTGATTTTTGAAAATTTGTAATTGGATGGAATAAATTCAAACCTTCCATAGTTTTTGACTATAATAATAATATGTCAGGTATAGACCGAGCAGACCAAATGATAAGAAGAAGAAGAAATTTTACTTATAGTTGGTGTTATATGTATTTACTTGGTATATAATTCCATATATTATATTTAATCCATAGATTGTTTATATTTCCAAAGATAATACATAATTCCATAGATTGTATATAATACCATAGATATAATATAATTCCATGGATTGTATATAATTCCATAGATAATATTTAATCCATAGATATAATATAATTCCATAGATATTATATAATCCATAGATTGTATATAATACCATAGATATAATATAATTCCATAGATTGTATATAATTCCATAGATAATATTTAATCCATAGATATAATATAATTCCATAGATATTATATAATCTATAGATTGTATATAATTCTAAAGATATTATATAATTCCATAGATAATATTTAATCCATAGATTGTATATAATTTCAAAGATAATACATAATTCCATTGATATAATATTATCCATAAACTGTATTATATTATATTCTATGGATTATATAATATCTATGGGATTATATAATATTTATGGAATTATATAATATCTATGGAAATTTATGAATTTTATGTTGTTGTTTTTTTATACGACTTTTCAAATTATGGGGTAGTCGTGAACGTGTTAATCAAATAGCTTTAAGCTTTATATTTAATTGAATCGATGATTACAGAAAAGTCACGAGTCACATATTGCAAGACATTAATAAAAACGTATAATTGTTATATATTTCTATGCGTTAATTGTAAATATGGCATTATTTATATATTATTTTCAGTTAAAAATAATAATAATTAGTGTTTTTACACTATACACATGACTAATACGTATATGTTTTTACTAATATCTCAATTTCATAAAATATGTGACTCGTATCGTTTCTGTAATTCTAATAAACCATTTATGATATTTGATCACTAGACATTTAGACGGCCGCAGTCTTTTTATTTTTTATTAAGACCTAATAAAAATAAAAATATAAAACTTTTAGTTATAATAATTTATATTAATGAATATTTTGATGGTAGGTTTTTTTTTGTACTATAGCAACACAATTTCAGTGTAATTTTACTCTTCGATAATTTATAAATTCAGATTAACCTTAAAATTACAGATTGAGTTTCATTCGTTATTATAATATGTATCTTTGTCTGTTGAACGGAATGGGTAAACATTTAATTTTTAATAAGTATTAGATATTACTCTACTCATAAAAAGTGAGTTCTACTTACAAAATAAACAATCGGAAGAATTGAAGAGAGGTTTCGCTGGTCGAACTAAAATATTACATCTTGTAGAATTTCGAGAAGTGAATTATAACGTCGAGTATGTTCGGATCATCGTACAACTACTATCTGCGTCATGTTTCCTATCATTATTTAACTACTTCCTAAAAGAAACGAGGAGATGTTGTAGATAACGGCGAGTAACTGCCATTATTACATACTCTACAATATACCCAGTGTTTGGGTCGGGTGCTACAAATAATATGCGCATTCCCGGTCACCGATTTTTACGTGTATTACACGCCACCGATTGACTGTGTTTGTGAGGTGTGTAGTGCGGTATTTAGCTCAACTAGCAGTGTTTGGGTTCGCCGTGCAAATACCAGTGAGCAATGTTGTGTTTAAATGTGTAATGTGTGTATATATGTATGTATTTTGTGTGTTCTTAAAATTATAGAAAAGGGTAACTCAAATAAATTTCAGTAAAAATATGCTATAATTAACAATTATATAACTAGGTAATAAATTACGGCCCTTCTTGGCCCAACAAGTAAAAAATTATAATATTTAAATGTTCGGTCTTTATGGCTAAACAAAAGGAAAATATAAATAAAATGAAAATTATAATTCGGCCCTTCTTGGTCCAACAAGTAAAAATATAAATATGTGGCCTTTTTGGCAAAATAATAAATATTAAAATAAAAAATACATAAAACTCACAGAATTGGTGGAGCGCAGACTGGCCAGCTAGTCATATAATAGCTATAATAATATGTAACACAGAAGAATAATATAAAAAAAACTAAGAAATAACAATATAATAAAATAAGATCAGTCTTTACGACGATTTGGGCTCGTAAAACAATAATAAATTAATAATATGGCGGCCGACGTACATAAGAATAATAATAAAAATACTTGCTATTAGAGCAATATAAGCGATTAGCGCAATAAAAACAAAAAGAAATTCAAATTTGTAGCGATTTGAGCACACGAAAAAATACTATTTAATAAAAATGGTGAACAAAAACGGCAATTCGGCCCACGAAAAATAATACTTACGACACACACTACACCGCATTCGACGATGGTTCGCGCGAGAGAGAAATCACATACAAATATTACAACGATACACACACACACACACACACACACACACACACACATATGGGCCTTTTCGGTTACATAACACACTATACAATAATTCATTAACAATTATTAAAATAAACTTATGATTACGTGTGCGTGTGTGTGTTAATTGACCGGTGGTGGTTTGCTCGGGTCGTCGACGGTCGAACGCTTATCTTAACACCTAGTAAAGTACATTTTTATTTAATATATATGAATAATGTACTACAGTATTGTACCTTAGTTCTTGTACCAGGCACGAGGGGAATATTTTTTAATCCATGTATTGAGTCGACAATATGAAGGTAATAATACTAAAATATAATCAGATTAACATATCGTAGTGCCGAAGTGCCTGTTAAAGTTGAACATACTCTAAATAAAAAATAGTGTTGTAATAAGTATAACGATCACATGTGCTTACTTACTTAAGTACCGTGTAATTATGCAGACTTGGTTCCCGCAGGTTTTTAGGGCAAGTAGAACTTTCGAGGATATTTGATATGAAAAAAAAAAAAAAATTAAAACACATATTTGTAATACAATTTGTTGTAATAATAATTTTATCTCGTATCTCTGTTAGGTATTTGAACCCATACACAAATAGTGCAGTTCTTGAAATATCTATAATCTCCAGGAGTCGTTTTATTATACGCAATTAATTAAAAATATTATACACCAAACGGTTTAGTTCTTTGATTTACAAATACGAATGTTGCTTATACGGTTCAATGGCTAGTAATTGTGTTCTCTAACCGTCTAACCGGTACTAGGTTAGTCGGAGAGACGAGGTCGGTGTAAATTCGTTCGTTTACCGCGAGGGAGATTTCACATCAGGAAAAATATCGAACACGGTTAGTGTTTCCGGTCGGCGTCTCAGGAAAGGTTCGAAAGCCTCGTGTCGAACCCGCAGTGACATCTATGGAACGTCGGCGCCAGCCGCGATAACCATCGCGCTCGATGCCTAGATGTCGTGTCACGGATGCCGCCGCCGCCGCCAGTCAGACGCCCCCAATCGACGTTATTCCGTTCACCCGGCCGACGACGACGAGCCTTACGTTCCAGCTGTTGGATCGATGGTCGGCCTGACCCAACGAAAATAAACACACACACACGCGCGCACACAAACACGCGCACGCAAGCGCGCGCACGCACACGCACAGGGTCTCGCACACCCGCACACGCTTGCACACCAACAGCGCTGCAGAGTTTTCAGGTTTCGTCTCTTTTTTATTTTTTTTCCTTCCCACATTATTTGTTTCGTGTTCTTTTTTTTTTTTTACTCTCCTCGCGCCGTTTCCGTTTATACACGCGCCGCGCACACATAACGGCGACGTATACTGCGCGTGCGAACCGTGTAAGGGCGCTAGCGCGTGTGAGCTAACCGCGTCAGTCGCCGACCGTGTCGTCCGCGGTGCAAATCGTATCCGACCCCGTCGTCCAGTCCGCCGTGTTTGCGCGTGTGTGCGTGCCTTCGTGTGTCTTCGCGTGCGTGCGTGTACGTTTACGCGCGCGCGCGCCCGCGCTCGTGTGTGTGTGTGTGTGTGATAACGACCGACAGCTGAGCGAAGAGACGTACTTTGTTCTATTCGTGTTCCGACGCGCGCGATGCGTCCTATCTCGTTCACCGTCACCGCCGCCGCCGCCGCCGCCGTCGTGGTCGTCGTAGTCTCTTGATTCGCTTACTCTTTTCCTTAATTATTACCCATTTGTTATTAATCGAAATTTTCCTACTCTCTTTCTCACTCTCTCTCTCTCTCTCTCTGTCTTTTTCCTTCCACCATACGTCCTTCATTACCCACACGCTCCGTTTCGCGCTCTCTTCCTCTCTCTCCGCTTTAGACGCTCGTCTTCCCAGACAAGACCGTCATCGCAACGAATACGATTAACAAAAATAACGTAGAAACGTCTCCATCTTCTTCTCTGTTGTCTTTATATAAATCTCACACACACTCACACTAACAGGTAAGCGGTAGTTGATCTCCTTTCACCCGGAGTTGACACATTTCTATGTCGTATTTTATATTCATATTATTTTAGTATATATTTTTATAAACGTAGTGTACGTTTTTCGTGTGTTTTATTTTTCACCGCCGTTCCGTTCCTACTGCTGTTGTTGTCCGCCGATGTTGCTTGTAATGCTCCTACGTTTGCTGTTTTTCTGGTCTGTTCTGCGCATTACCGTCGCCTGCGGATAACTCTGCACTCGGTCGCGGCCATCTGTGGGTAGGAGGAGTAGGAAAGGGGTGTTATGTCTACAATGAAGGATATGAGAGTCAGTACTGCGTGTCTACGACTTATGAGTTCGACGATTTGTTAACCCAGAGCGGACACGAATCGTGGTATAAGTCGCGCAGGACGAACAGAGCTTTTTACCGGGGACTTTTTACTTTGCAAGCGCACCAAAAACCGTGGAGATAGGTGTGGGCGCGTAAGGACTAAGCAGCCTGCAGGACAACTGCGCGCCAGGTACCCCCACTATCCCTCTCACCACATATATACAAAATAATACATTGAAATTCGCGTCACGGCGCCGTTTTGTTTATCACATTTTATATAATTATTGAACGAAATGTTTCTTTTTAATTCAACCTGTGGTAAATTACATTGATGTAACTATTACGGTTGCGTATTCTTGATGTACCTGCAGCCATCGTTAACGTTATAGTATCATCACGAGTATTTTTTTAATGTTCGCACGTAGATAGCAGTTTTTTTTATATAAACGTATATATATATATATTTTGTGCATGGACATATTATGACATGTTGAACCTATTTATTATTATATATTTTCTTATAGTTTATTTGATTGTCCATTCGAGTTCTTTAGCAGCATGCATACGCAATACGTATTTGTTGTTTTCGCTGTAACATAATATGATAAACGTTCCTACATATTTTTATGTATTATCATTATTACTACTATAAATAATATTTTTATCATTCTTAATCTTATGGAATTTAGCCCCCTTGCACACTGTGATATACACCTGCAGTAAACTCACCTATATCAATTAAGGTTCTACTGTACAATATAATTTGCTAACTGCAATTCGTGTTCATCGTTTGGTCTCCATCGCAAAAACCTCGTATATGTTCAAGAAACCATTCACACGTGTAAGCCACATACAAGGCTTGAATATTATTTTTATCATAATATAGATCATAGTACGTGCGTATACGCGTGTTTCGGTCACTTCGTGTTATTATTAATGAAAATTTAAAAAACAGTACATTTTTTTCGAACGAATCATCATCATGAGATATCAACTGACATTTTAACGCGAATAAACATCCCGTGGCTAATAGGCATAATAGTATGCTTACACCTAAAACATGTTTCAAAAAATGTTTACTGTGTGGCACTTCAACAAAATCAACTCCTGTCATGACGGTCGTTACGATAATGAGTCAGTGGCACGATCACCAACCACTGTGTAGAATTATCACTAGTGCCACGTACTTTTTATGTTAAAACATGCTGAGCTTCGGGGGCGTATTTTAGGGGAGCAAAGGGGGCGATCGCCTTCCCCTGAATCCGTATTTAAGGAATCGATCATATGTGAGATATTCATTTGAATTTTTTTTAATGTAGATCATTTAGATCACGATACTTAGTGTCCATACTTAGTGAAAAATCAAATAAAACATAAGCGTAATTTTCAAAACACAGACAGGTGTTAAAAAAGAACTACACAAAAGTCGATTCTAAGTGGATCTGGCATTAGATTAAAAAAAAAACAAAAAAAAAACCCACAAATATTAAGGATTCACTTGATTTAAATATTACCAAAAATTTTACTTGTAAATTTTGAGCCTGAATTAAAGAAAAAATTTGAGTCGCCCCTCCCCTTAGAAGTAAGTTTAAATACGCCCCTGCTCAGCTTATACCACTAAATATATTTTTTTGAATAACGGTCACCTCGGTCACCTGGGTCACCTCTAGCTTAATTATCCGGCTTCGCACGGAACATTCTTGGCTTTAATGGATTATTACCTTACATAATTTAAAGTCAAGTTTGATGTAACTGTTGGTGGTTATAAAAGAAATAAAACGAAAGTTAAAATGAATTTTATTGATTTATACAGTTTAATAATTTACATAATTCTGAATTGGTAATTATTAAAATCAACATATTTTACAAATCATATATTTCCTAAGTAACCAAAAAATGAAAAATGTATACATCCAGTCCAAAACTGTTTCGACCCTTAAATATGAGATTTTCGGAAAATCCTTTCTTATTGCACAGTGAATATATGAGAAAAACCTCTATTTTAAATTTCAAGTTCGTACATTGAGTAGTTTTTGAGTTACAGCGATCAGTGACTAAGTAGTATTTGGATTTTATATAGATACTCGTAGATAGATAGAATTAACTGTATATTTAAAATGTATCAATTCTCATCGCAATACCGTAAAAAGTCTCAGCACGCCCAGTAGTCTGGCCGAAGTGATAAAAAATAATTTATAAGAATAAATTAAAAAAAAAAATTAAGACGCTTTTCAAAAAAATTTGATTAAACTATATATATATTTGTAGTATTATACATAGTATTTTCTTATAATGTTATTATTTCCCTCTCGTTTTCCGACCAATAATACTACAAAACGTGCATTTCAATGGTTTGCGAACATTGTTTATGCGTTAAATCGCAGGCGTTCTTGTACTACATTATATTTCTCACACCATACATGTGTCTCTCTATAAATCAACATCGTCGTCCGTACAATGCATCGTTTAGGTTCTTTTACGATACCTACCCATTCGATACGCTCGATAAATTGCGCAAAATATATACTTGTATCTAACTTGTAAATAGCACGTACATAATAAACTTTAAATAGTAATAATAATAATTCCCATACACGCGACCGAATCGACTAGTCTGCAGCGGTTCGTTCCCGAACTTTTCGGAATTGACCTGAAATTTCGCGTTGCATAAATGATAACAGACTTTAAGGACATTCGATTTACCCGTTAAAAATGAAATTTGACACGAATCCGAGGTCACCGCGGGGACTTTAAAAATTCGATAGTATTCCGTTCGTTTGTATTTTTTAAAATTTTTTTTAATACACGGCGACGATGGTATGTTGTCAACAACCGTAAGCGTCGCATTCGAACCCTTTGGATTTTATACGTCGTGTAAACTTTACCGTCGAACCTGGGGATAAATTTTGAAGGTCGGAGAATCGGATGTTTCGTGTCTTGTAATTATATTATTAAAATATTTTAAATACACAATTATTATTTTTTAGCGTCTATGTTCAGTACATTTAGATACGCCTTTCTAAACAGCCGAGGTTAGTGCATATGTAAAATATATAATATAGGCACCTATTTCCCTTGTACGTTAACACTACATTTAAGTTTGTAAACTGTGTATATGGGTGTATGTATGTTTACTCTCTACATGCATAGTATTTATAAAATCAATATCATACAATATTCTGTTTAGTCCTTTGCTCGTAGTAAATTTTTATATGGTGTGTTGTCGATGGTCACATTCCTTCTACACGTATATACTCGTATTATATTACTGTTTTAGACAGTGTACAGATCACAAATCTTGTGTTTTGCATCTTATTACGTGTATAGTATTGTAAAATGGCGTCGGAACTGTTGATAATTTATATTTATAGATACCATGTTTCACATTGTATTTATTTAAATTTTTTTTTTTTTTTTTGAATCGGTCAAGCGTCGATGTTTTTACCGATTTTGAGGATTTTTTAATTTTTAAAATACACGGCAACAGTACCTACTCTTAGGTGTCTTAACGTTAATGTTCCCCACGCTTTATACATTATTATCTTGTATACTATCTTTCATTCGGTTATTGTGAACGTGTTAATACGGTTTTTAATTTAATGATGTAACTTATTTGTTTTTCTAGACCCTTGAAGGTATTATAGGCATTGATGACTGAATGTAATATTTTCATCTTGATATATTCATATATTTATACTATAAATCGTTGTATTATTTGTTGGTTGGCCGTAAGAAAGGGAACGGATAATTGTAATATATATTTTCGTTTAATACAAATAAAATGGCGACGTCACTGGTTGTATTCAAAAATTACATTTGAGAATATCCATTATATATAGGTACACTGTACACAACACATAATTTGTATTATTTAAACAACTTTTAAATAAACAGCGTGCTAAAAGTGTTATGTTAATAATTGTTCTTTCACCTTCGCAATATTAAATTATATTGTACCTATATGTATGTACCGATATATATATATATATATATATATATATATATACATTCTTTGTCATTTATAATTAATTTTTTTTCTTGAATTTTCATGTGGGTGCACTCGTATGTATGTGACTTATATGACGTGTCGGTTAGGCAATGTTGTGCCGTGTTATGGACTTCATGTACATAGGTGGTTTATACGAATAATCTAATAAAATAATTAAAGTTAATTCGTCGTTAACTTAGCATACATACGAGACATATAAAGTTCCCTTACAATGCTGACACTGAACATTTCTAAAGCATATTTGAATTGATTTTATACACCGTCTTCGATGAACAAAACTATAGCATATTTTATTATCATATAATAGTGCGTACTGATTACTCACTCGCTGCAATACGTTAATCTGTTGTACCACGTAGCTCATTATTGATCGATTTTGGATTTTGCACAACCTTATGTGTGTACCTACATATTTAAAGTACACAAAATAGTTTTGTGATATCATCTGTACTAAACCTGAGGTGAAGCGAATTCACGTGAATATTATCCAATAATTATTCAGTAGTCATTTTCTACTCTTATGTATGTATACCTTAAATAGTTACTTTTAAAATGTTACCTATGTATATCTTAATTTAATATTGTGCTTTACGGCGTTTATAAAAATAAAAATAAAAATAATTAAAAAAAATAACACCTCACATTGTGGAATGAGTGAGTAGGACGACAAAATATAA